GAATCTTTGAACCAATTTTGCATAGTGCTTTGATCTATATAGATGATATACTACTCTTCTCTCCCAGTGAAGACAGTCATAAGAAGCTCCTACAACAGTTTTATCAAATCTGTAACCAGTATGGAGTGATGCTTTCATCAAAGAAATCTGAGATCGGAGTTAAAGAGGTTAATTTTCTTGGTATGCATTTTGCTTATGGAAAATATGTCCCACAACCTCACATTGTAGAAAGACTCCCAAAATTTCCAGAAAGAGATATGACAGTCAAAGAAGTTCAACAATTTTTGGGAATTATCAATTATGTCAGACATTTTATTCCCAACATTGCTCCTCACATTTCACAATTGTCAAAACTACTGAAAAGGAATCCCCCTCCATGGGGATCAACCCAAACAGAAGCAATAAAATTTTTGAAAAGAATTGCTCAAAATCCTCCTCCGCTAAAAATTCCTGGCGAAGGAAAAAGAATTTTGCAAACAGATGCAAGTGACCATTATTGGAGTGCAATTCTGATTGAAGATGTCCAAAGACAACAGTTTTTCTGTGGATTTGCTAGTGGAAAGTTTAAAGATTCAGAACTTCAGTTACCGTCCTTTGTTCCGTCCCGTGGCCTTCGGCAGGGAAACCCTCTATCCCCGTATCTGTTTGTATTTTTCATGGAGCGGCTAGCCCTTAGGATCTCTGAGTTGCTCCAAGAGGGTCGGTGGAAACCGATTAAGCTCTCCCATGGGGGGTTCCTGCTCTCACACCTTTTCTTTGCTGATGATATTTTACTGTTCTGTCAAGCTTCAGATGATCAAGCTCGCTTGGTGGCATCAGTTTTGGAGGCGTTTTCGCGATCATCAGGACTGAGGGTCAATTTGTCTAAGTCTAAGTTTGTGAGCTCGAGAAGGGTTCCACAGAGGATAATTGACATACTGGGGGGTTGGCCACACGGCTCGAATAGGGAAGTATTTGGGGGTTCCCATGACGCATGGTCAGCCAAGGTGCGCCGATTTTTATGATGTGATGGATAAGATTCAGGGTAGACTTGCAGCTTGGAAGTCCAAGCTTCTTAATAAGGCAGGGAAGTTGTGTCTGGTGAAGTCCACCATCTCCTCTATTCCAGTTTATAGCATGCAAACACTGTGGCTTCCTCAAGCAGTGTGTACTAGAATTGATCAAGCTTGTCGACGTATGCTCTGGGCAAATTCTGACAACACACGGTTCTGGTCTCCGGTGAGTTGGGATGTTGTGACTCAACCCACAGAGTTCGGTGGACTTGGTGTTAGGGAAGCGCGCAGTGTGAATGTTTCACTCTTGGGGAAGTTAGTTTGGGATTTGCTTACGACTCCAGAGAAGCCTTGGGTCCATCTCCTCAGCCAGCTATACCTACAGGGAGACTCAATCCTGTGTGCTCAAAACAAGCGGGGTGCTTCTCCGACCTGGTCAAGTCTCACCAAGGCCCTTCCTTATCTCTGTGAGGGATTCGTGCCTCAGCTGGGGTCGGGTGCCTCATCCCTTTGGTACAAGGACTGGTCAGGTACTGGGCTTTGGTGTGGGAAAGTCCCATTCGTTCATATTGCGGACACCAACAGAACAGTTGCAGATTGTTGGGTTAGTGGTGCTTGGAACTTCACTGCTTTGTATACTGCTCTCTCGGAGGAACTGATACAGTCGGTCCAACAGCTGAGTGTCGTCAATTCCCCTTTGGGGCTGGATCACTTCGCTTGGAGGGGGGATAGCTCGGGCTGTTACACAGCGGCGTCTGGGTATCGTTTTCTAACATTGGGGTTGTCCACGGCAGGGGATGACGTGTGGAGGAAGATCTGGAAGTTGAAGATTCCTGAGAAGGTTAATTTCTTTCTGTGGCAATGCCTTCATTCAGCTCTTCCAACGAATCAGGTTCGGGCGGATAAGAGGTTGGCCGACTCTGGTGCATGCTCGCGTTGCTCTTGCCCTCACGAAACCATTTTACATGCACTTCGTGATTGCCCGTCTTCGCGGGAGGTGCTGGTGTCTGGTGGGATCAGTGTGGGGGGGGCTTTCTCGGTAATGGATTGTTTCCAGTGGCTGAAAAGGATTATTTTGCATAAGGATGCTATTAGGCTCTCCATCACTTTATGGTGGGTTTGGGGGCTTAGAAATAACATGCTGTTTACCGATGAGCTTTGGACGATTTCGGCGGTCCGTCGGAAGGTGACACTGTCTCTGGTGGAGAATAGTGTGTATAACGTGAAGAGGCGCTTAGGGGAGGAGTCAGCCCTTTGGAAGCCTCCGGAGCATCCGTGGGTTAAACTAAACACGGACGGGAGTTGGTTGACTGGATCTTATGCTATGGGGATGGGCGGCGCAATTCGAGATTGGGCAGGCATGTGGCGGGGGGGTTTCTCGCGTGGAGCTTTACATGGGGATGCGGTATGTGCCGAGTTATTGGCCTTGGAGGATGGTTTAACGCTTTGTTGGGAAGGTGGGTTTCGGAAGGTGACATGCGAATGTGATTACCTGGGAGCTGTTACGCTGTTTCAAGAGCGACCAACGGATAGAGATTACTTGCATAAACACTATGATGTGATTCGTCGTATTAAGCGCATTCTAGCTAGGGACTGAGTTGTTTATGTGAGTCATATCCCTCGAGAAATTAATTCAGTAGCACATACGCTGGCTAATTGGGGTTGACGGAATATAGGTTCCAATGTATTTTGGAGGAGTCCTCCAGAGTTTGTACTGTTACAGTTAGGGAGAGACTCTATGTCTTGAGTAGTCTGCTGTTTTTAGTTTTCATCCTTTACCAAAAGCAATAAAAGGAAACATTAATGTAAAAGAATAAAAGAAGAATAACTCTCTTTGGTTTATCGGCAACGTTAACTAGTGGAGAGTGCATCTTCCTCTGAACAGAGGTCCTGCGTGTAGTCATGAAATCTCAGTCAGATTTTCCAATGGAATCTGTACCATTTTTTTTTATCAACAAACTCTCATACGAATTCTTTATCATGGTATTAGCACATGCTTCTTTATCAGTGAGAACACATGAGTGAGACTCAGATATACAAATAAATAAAACACTGCAAGAATGGGTCTCCAAGGCATCGAATTCTGCAAAGAACGGGTGACAACAAAGTTGTTTACTGTACATATCCTTTATCTAAAATGATTTTTTTATTTATTTATTAATTTAAAATGCTGAAATTTAATTATAAGTACAATCATATTTATTTTGAATAAAAGTTCACATTATACACGAGTCTGAATAATACTTAAATATATATAAGAAAAACATAAATAACGGAATAAAATAGGCCTTTCAAAACTAAAGATAAATTCATAAATATCAAATTTAACAAAGTTGAAATCAAACCAACTAATGATTACGAGCGGTTTTATTCTCAAAATCTTGGTGTCACATTTTTCATAGTATAACCTAGAATGAAGTAAAGTAAATTTGAAGTCTAAGTTTTGCTTCCAAAATCATTATCATATTTAGCCCAACCTCATCTATAAATGACATTAAATTCGAACAAAATAAATATAAAATAATATCTCGTAACATATCTTTGTATGATAAGATTGTTAAAAAACT